AGATTAGGGACTACTCAGGTTTGATAAGTGTGTTGTATTGTCCTAGTATCAAACCTTGCCAACCCCTTGTTGGAGTAAAACACCACAACAACGCAGATTTACCACCTTGAAAATTATCCTTCAGATTATGTGTTGCTATTTCAATTTTTAATTAATTATATCTAAATCACCTTTTTTTTTATGAAACTTGCCTTCCAGGTTATGTATGGTTAGGTACTGCAATTTTATTAGGTATCTAGGTATCTATACTACCTATATTGTTACATAATATTAAAGCCCTTCAGGTTACGTATTGTTACTTCCACTTTGATTATTGCTGCACTGAATACATGTAAATACTTGTACACTGGGGTTAAATGACCATTTACGAAGGTACTGCATTTGGTTGTTTATTGATTATGTGATGTATTTATGGCCAATTTTATCACAGTCTGGTTTGAGTTGACTGATAGATTCTTATTATTAAAAGTCATTGACCAACATTTATTATTGTTTTTCAAGGGTCATTGAATAAATAATTCAAATTTTGGTGCTTATCAGCTGTTTGCTGCCATTTACAATAAACAATTATAAATAACTATTTTGGGCAAATAAAAATCATGCACCGGAGTGAATTTTAAAGCGCTTTCATTTCATTTTATTTTATGCATATTTAGGTTTTTGCAGTAGGTACTTCCAATTAGGATTGAGTGTTTCCTGTTTTTAGTTCATAATCGGTAGCTTCGTTTGACTGTAGGGTATAGTAAAACAGGTGGCGCCTTTTTGATGTTTACCCACTCCACTCTCCGCTGTGTGAGTTAGTCGGACACCCTAAAAACGAAGCTCCAGTTGCTCGATTTTGGTTATTGGAGTACCTCAGCCACCTTTTTGTGTATTAATTTATTGTTAGGGTTGCCCCTAGTTTGGAAATTGTAACAAAGTAGGTTTAAAGAAATGCTTGTTCCGGAAAATTGAGGTTCGGATTCATGTTGTCAAGATTCAGAAGTTTTATTTGTGTCTCGATATTTGAAGTGTGATCTTGAGGGGTATTCTCTGGCGGATGGTGATTGGTAAAAGGTACCAGAAAATCCTGATAATTTTCAGCGTTCGGATTAGTAGTTCAGCATATTCGTTTTTTTCATAACTAGGCATCTTGTTCATAATGAGGGCTTTCAGCGTACTCAAATTCGTTGGCATATGTTTCATTAGAGGAATCATTTAAAAAATAAGTTTTTTGCTGGTTGGTACGAATTGTTCCGAAGTAGATGCATTTTGGTTCTATTTTGTGAAACACTGGTTGTTGGTTGTTGGTTTGCAGTGCCTGAGTAGTTAGCTGTTGTCGTTTTTTCAAAATTCTGATTTGGGTATTGAGTAAAGTTTGAACGACTGGAAGCTTGTTGTCTACATTGATTGGCTGTGTGGCCAATTTTTCCGCAAGAAAAGCATTTGAGGGCTGATTGTGGTTTGTTGATCAAAACTTTTTGAACAGAAGTTTTTGAAGTCTTCTGATTCTCAAAATAGGAAAGTTGGATTTCTCTCCTGATTCTACATTGAGCATCTAAGAGAGTGTGTGGGCTTCCAGCTCTGATAATCTGGCCAAGGCGAGGTTTTGGGCCTGTATGGCGTTTAGGGCCATAGATTCCACAAGGGAGGACTGGACCACTTAAGGTGTGGTGACTTTTGAATAGAAGAATGCATTTTTGCATTCAGTACTTGGACTTGTAGAAAGTAAGGGGAGACTCGCCAGGTAGTTGTTTGAGTCGTTGGAGGTCATGGATAAGAGCTGAGAAGGCTCTAGTGTCAGTAGTTAAAGTGTACCTAAGTTCAGAAGTTGTTCGATCTCCAAATAGGAATTGGGGTTTCGAGAACTTATCAGTTGACCTGCTCTATCTCTGAGCTTATTTTTAATGTGAATAACGAGTAAAACCTTTTGCTGCGTGGTTGCCATATTGTAGGCACAATCGCATGTATTAATAAAGTTTCCTAAGAAGATTTGATTATTTGATCTCCTTCAAATTCAGGAATTATCGAAAATATTTTGGAAAGTTTGTATGGTTCAACTTCCAAAGTTGTTTCATTAGGCATTTTGTTGATTTAAATAAAAATATTCAAAAACAACAACATAAAAAAATATTTCGAAACTAAATGGTTGACAAAATTTTCAAAATATGGTTAATGGAAATGATTTATGAAAATTGGTCGGTAAATTTTCAAAATATGGTAAAATAAAACGATGTTTAAGCAAATAATTGATTAGTAAACTTTTCAAAATAGACGAAATATGATAAACTGAAACAATTTATAAAAATTGGTTCGCAAATTTTGAAAAAAAAAAATCGAACAGTATCATAAGTAAATTACAAAAAAAAATAAACGAGACAATTTTTTAAGTACTTACATCAAAAGGATAGGATCCATGGAATCGTCGTGTTCTCGTCGTGTTCACTTCGATTTGGGATTCTTCCGTTCTTTTTCTGTTTTATGGATGAGAATCCGCCGCTATCAGTTAGAATATTCTTGTTCTGACAACGTTGACAGATTCTACCGACTGCGCCAAATTGTTATCTCAAAAACAAAAAATACATTTTTTAAAAAACACTAATTTATTTTAAACTACAAGACATTACTCAACTAACTTGATAATGACGAATAATGGCGACCTAACTAAAGAGACAGGGTCTCCATGGGAGCGTTGCGACGATGGAGCAGGCTTTGATCGTACGAATGTGAACGACTGCACCTCGTCCATTAAAAACGATCTGGTTGATATAGATAAATAGAATAGATAGTTCATTTCTTTATTTTGTAGCGTATGTTCAAATGCGGCCTTTGTGTTGGTAGTGTTTAGATAAGAGTGATTAAAATGAACTTTGAAGATATATACCTACCTATCTTTTGAAAAACTCGTTCTGCTTGAGACGCCAGAGAAAAAATAAAAGGCGTAGATAATGGATTAGCGAAATATTGTTGGAAATAAATAGATTAGGAGAGCTTCATCATCATCATGATAGCTGCTGTCTCTCATATCCCATAATGCTTTTCATTCTTTCGCATCGCAAATTAGCTTATCACAATCCATAATTATCCACAATATGTAAAGAAGTAAAAACCTGCACTGGCTAAATTGCAAATAGTGACCGAAAGTCGTTTGAAAATGTCCGACAAATTCCACTCAAATGGGACTAGTCATTGGTCGCATGAAATCGGATCAAGTCGTACCACCGAATTCGTGTGAAGTCGATGAGCGCTCTATTCATTTTCATGTAAGGGGATTAGTCTGACGTGTACGGACGACTACATACGACCACAAAGTCGTACGACTAGGTGACGTTAGCCCATTGGCAACCACATTGATAACCACATTGTTCTCCGTGGCAACGGCGATCGTGTCAAAAACTCCACCGATCAGGTTCATAGGCCGGATGCTTGCCAAATTGTCAAAAGCTGATGGTATCTTTAGAAAATATTTATTTTTTACAATAGACCAAATTGAATTAATCAGTTATTAAAATAAGAATAGATCTAACGATAAAATATGCGTTTTATTATTGTTATCTATATTCTGTTATGGAAAAATGGATTTTCAAATGAACTATACTTAATGCCTAGTATTTTCACTTTTTCATATTTAAACGTGGCAGCATCGCACATTTATGTCCAAATTCCTTCCGTAAACTCAGAACCGCTGGGCAAACAATAAGTAGGTAGAGTCCACCAAACTTAAGAATGGTACAGGCACGTGTTTCGCCGCAAGTTGCCCATTGGTATGTTCATCACGGTTTCCATAGCAACGGCGAGTAGTTAGGTCATTGATGACGATTTGCACCGCTATAGCTCAAGGGATATTGAATCCAAGTGGAGCTTTGAATGTGACTCTTGTAGAAACGAAAGTCACATTCAAAACTCCACTTAGATCAAATATCCCTTAAGTGATAGCCGTGCAAATGGCCATGAGTAGCTTACCTAAATCAGATCTATTTCCAAACCAAATGAAAGTTATCGAAATAATAGTTTGCCCGTTGGCTTCGACGTCAGAACTTCGTGCAGACCAAGCCTGTACCATTCTTAAGTTTGTACATCTTTCGATCAATTTATGTGACTCGAAACAAGATCCAAAATTAAAACTATCCATTCTGAAGATTCAATTTCACGCTTAATACATTTCCGATAATTATTGCATTTTCCCCTAAAAGAACATCTGATTGAAAGGGTTCTTACCCGCTTTTCGCCCCATATTTATTTCCCAGGCTAAATCAAAAAAACCGCCCATTAGGGACAAGGAAAATACTAAAAATGCAACAAAAAAGTTACATAATCATTCAATTATTCTCGTTTACCCACAGGGAAATAATTCACTAAATGTGGGACGTTGTGGGGCCAAAATTAGGGTCATTCATCATAAGGTTACGCCCTTCGTGCCAAGTTTACGCGAAAAGGGCAAAAAAGTTTTTTGTTAGTTTTTACTAGTTGTTTGTCTACCCTTGCATATTGTTATTGATGATGATAAAGAATGGATATTGTAAACCTAAATTGTGTTTTTTGAGTTCTAAAAATTACATTTTTATAGAAAGGTGGATATCAAATTATGAATTTTTAAAAATGCTAAATTGAAAAATTGTATCAAAAGCCTCCCCATGTGATGGAAAATTACGTCCTTTTCAGCCTATAGAAGCATGTAAATGAGTTCGAAAAAGGCCCTTGTTTTGAAAATATCGAATTAATGACCCTTCAGCTCCATTTGGTTGTCAACACATTCAAAACGGGAATGAAAAAAAAAAAAAAAAAAAAACACTTTTGGCATTTTCGGTGTTTCAGGACGTGCGACCCAATCCTTTGTCGCTTCAACGCCCGACCTGTCACTTTACTTTTTTTTTCAAACTTTCATAATTGGAAATGAAAAGCGTATTTCCGTGCCTCTCGGGGAGATTTTCCTGACGGAGGATGTAGTTAAATTTTTAATATACGATTGAAAATTCATTATTTTTTAACGACATATCATATTCGGCTAGGACTGGAGTAATCTAGGAAAATTGGACATGACGTGCTACGGGACGATTTATGATAGCTTCACCAATAAGCAAATTCCACGTGTGCGCGAGCGACTGTGATGCCAAGTATTCTCGTTCATCCAAACTTAAATTATTTATTTTCTCCAAGTTTGTTAAACTCTTCAAAACCCATAGTATTGAATGTTGAAGAAATGGTTGTAGCATTCTAAAAAAACAACCTACAAAAAATAAATAAAAAATCACAGAAAGGCATACGTACGTTTACAATAAATTTCTCCGCATCCTTCATAAAGCGTTTTAACGTCTAAATATTTCTTACAACAGTAACAGGTGAAACAATTGGTGTGGTAAGCTCCTGCAGTTACTTGAATCTTTTCAGCTGCGTAAACCTGAAACAATTTGAGATGATAATTGAGAGAAAACACGAGAGAAAAGAGATACAAACTAAAAAAAGAAGATCAGATTATTCAAATAGAGAACTCAACAATAGGAGAGATTGAAAGTTGCCAATAATTCTCAGTGGAAGGAATAAGAAAAGATGAAAAGTACAGACTACTGTGTACAGTACTACAGAAGTTATTTATAAATAAAGAAAAGTTCTCAAGAAAAATGAAGACATGTGAAACCTTGCAAATAAAAGAACCAGGAAAGCAAAACCTGAATTAAATCATCTATACTTTATTTTTTCCCAAGATAGATTTTGACATTGAAAACTTTGAAACATAAACAATAACGCTTGACCCTGATTGGTCGCAAAATGAGGTGTTTCTGCATGTTGACATCAGTTTTACAATAGCGGCCAATAAGTGGCATTAGCGGCAATGTTTATGTTTCAAAGTTGACAAAATCTATCTTGGAAAAAAATAAAGTGTATAGAACGAGTACAAAATGCAGTCAATGGAAAACAAAGTTGAACAACTATGAGAAGTAAAAATTGAATAAAGAAAAAGGGGATAACTTCTCCAACGCCTCACGATTTCCAATTTTTATTTTTCTTCGTTCTATCATCATAGCTGCTCTCTGATTTATTTATACATTTCTTCTCTTCATTTTTTTTTTGGGCCGGACAATTTTTCAGTTGCCTTGAGGTGTCCATAGGTGAGTAGGTACTTATAGTCGATTATCGGGCACCTTTTGTACATGGCCATTTCACTCTGTAATGTTATTGAGTTTAATTTCCATAATTTCTCCATATTTTTGTCCCCTTGTTATCCAATAACGACAATACATACATACATATCAAATAAAAATATGATCTACGTGAATCGTGGTATGCTGCTATGCTGTGTACTTGGGAAGTTTTCATTAATAACCATACTGCATTTGGTGATGGCAGGCATGAAATAAATCTTTACCACAAGTACCTACTTACACTTGTTAAATGTTTGTATTTTTGTATTACTTTCCTTTCAATATACGATATACCTACCCTCTTATTACATCTTTTACAACAAATAGTACACAAAGCTTTAATTTCTGACATTTTACAATTGCATGGGTTGCGTCTTCCACATACGCAATATTTTGGACCTGATGAACAGCAATCTGGAGGCGCTTTGCAATTACAGCTACAGGCCTGAAACGATAAAAAGTCAGTCAGGTATCGGAAACAAACAAGAACGGAAAATGATCACTTGTGGTTTTGGTGAGCGATATTGTGGTTTAGGAGGCCAACATTGAGTTTTCGGAGGACAATACTGAGTTTTCAGAGGACAACCTTTAGGTTTTGGAGGACATCGTTGAGAGGGTGGACCCCATTGAACTGGAGCTGGTCTGGAACAATTACATTTTGGAGTTGAACTGCATTGATGGGCTCTTGGACAAGATTCATTCTGAGAATATCTGCACGGTTGGCAGGTACAGGCTTGGGGAGGACATGGAGATTGACTACAAAAAATTAAAATTGGCGATAGAACAATAAAAAATTGATTATCGTTGCCTTCGCGGTGATTGGCAAGCGTAGCAGCCACGATGTTCGTGACAAAAGTCACAGTCTTTGGTGAATACTGGAGTACGAGGTGGAGGTTTGTTACAACAGCATTTTATAGGGTTCCTAAAATGCGCTTCTCAGGTTAAAGTCACCCAAAAATATATATATTTATCTTACGTGCATCGTGGTGGGGTTCGGCAATCTTCATAAAAACTTTGGTTCATACAAGTCCGCATCGTTAATTTTGGTTTCGGAGCGGCACAACAAGGGTTTTGGCATTGTGGTCGGTTGGGACATGGTCTGGAATAGAAGAAATATATGAGGTTTTTTGGGAGAAAAAATAATTGGCTCAGGTTTCAATTATGCGTAGGGCAGCGTAGGGGCTATGGCAGACTATACTGTACGTAAATGCCCCGATTGTTTTTTATCATCAATCCTCAACTTCACTGCTCCATATCCATTTCTTGATGTTGGTACGCGTCCAAATGAATTTGCCATGCTTGACGGTTGGTGGCATTTCCCGATCATTGGGTTCTTGTGGCCTTTTCTACTTCCCTGCATCCTATATCATTCCAACCTTGCCCTAGTAGAATTAGTTGTAGGTGTTTTGAATTTTATTCTTACTTATGATAGCAAGTTCGGTTTTTCATGTGTGCTCGGTTATAATAGTTAGCAACTTCTCTGGGTAGAGGTAGAGTAAAGCAAGCCTCATTTTGATTAGGGATGCAACTGCATGATCTGACTGTTCTCTGAATGTTTGGACACTGAAAGAGAAATACGTAGCAAATGTAGGCAACAGAAATATCGATATTAAGTACCTATATCCCTACCTTTTCTTCGTTGGGAAAGCACAGTTGTATATTAGCACAATTATCCTCACCTTCAGGACAGGGTCTGCAGGTTACTAGCTTCTGCAGCACCGTCTTGCTTACAGTGCAACTTGGCGTTGAAACTATTCTAGAAGGCTTTCTCACTAATGGTGTTGAAATTACCTAAAAAATGTGGATTTCTAATTTTTGTTGGCGGAGGATACTGTTTCTCTTGCCTCAAATAATTTTTCAATCACTGACGAATAGCAACACTGACAGAAGAGCTCTCCTTGGAATATTTTAGCTGTATCCTTATCCAAGCATTTACCGCACTGTACTGAAATTGTAAAAAATTCTATTCAAATTAAATTTTAAACTGGAATTTTGTCAAATAATAATGACGTTGAATGACAATAGTTTCAAATATTCGGGGATGTTCAAAACCAAGTATCAGAAAGTAAGCAATTATAAAGCTGGATTTATAGTGTCAGTATCAGTAACAGTATAGCAGTACAGTAATAGTATATTACAATCCGAGACGGGAAATACTTTATTGCTGGTCGAAAGGTTATATAGTTTATCGAGATGCGTAGCGTCGAGATGAACTGAGCCTCGAGACAGCAATAAAGTTTCTCGTCGAGGATTGTATACTATTTTATTTTTAACCATAATATCTGAAAAAAAAAAAATTCGTTAGAATCAAATAAGGTCGGAAAATGAGGACAGGAAATGAGGACGGAAAATACTTCCCTGCTCCATTTTCCGTCCGTGGGAGGACGGGAAATGAGGACAGAAAAAATTTCCCGTCCTCGTTTCCCGTCCTGGGACAGGTAAATGAAAAGACAGAAATGTGACATTTTCAAATTTTTGAAAAGTCAGTAATAACAACATTTCATATATGGTTAAAAATAAAATATTAAAACACGGCCGACCGTAAAGCCATTTATAATTCACTTAACAAACTTATCAAAATCAGTAAAACCGTTGGTAAAACTAAAGAAGTGGTTATTCTCATATCTGTTCTTAAGTTTTATATAAATCCAGCCTAACAGGTCAGTACTCTCAATACCGACTAGATAATACACTCTTTCCAGAAAAAGGGGTTATATTCTGTATTTTTACAGTCTCAGTACCATGACTTCTTTTCCAAGTCTCAAACTCAAAGTTCTGCCAGGATGCATGATTTGAGTGTCGATCGGATATAATATCCTCTCCCAAGTTCAAAATGCCGGATATTTTAGTGAATCTCTGTAGCAGGCAAAGTGAATTTATTGTCTCATTCAAAAGGAGCTAAATTTCAAAAAACCCAAAAGATCTTCTCGCAGGTCGTTAAGAAACATTACGAAGTTACGACTTTCCAATCAAACATAGCATAGGAAGAAGTCATGCCAATGCTAATAACAAGGAAAAAAATAAAATGCTGTTTGCTGACAAGGAATTTAAAGTGGTGGGTGGTTGGCTAGAAAACGGACAGCGCAAGACATTTCTAGTTTCTGTCTTACAGTGAAGGAGTACATACCTGGGAACTGTTTCCAATGGGATTTGTTGTGTTGACGAGATAACTTATTCCTAAGGTGGTAGAGTCCAGATGACAAAAGCGTAGTACATCAGACTATTTGTGCCATGGTGGACACGTTGGGAGAGAATTGCGGTAGATATCGCAGGTCCTTTTCCCACAACAGAAGGAAATAAGGGCCTCGGCTAGGACTCTGTAACGAATATATACACTTTCTCTATCTCTATTGACGCCTCCTCTCTATTGAATTCGACAAGACAGAAGAAGACAGCAAGTGCCATAGCGATAGGGATAATGATCTCTATCGGTTACAGAGTTCCAGCCCAGGATTTTTATGCACTATTTTCTGAAATGCCTTGAAGTAGTTCCAATCTTCCATAAAAAAGCTGCTACAGTTGATGAAGCATTACTGGAGAACATCATTGCCATCAGACATCGATACACCGATATAACTTTATATAGGAGGAATTTCAAGTTTAAATTATGGGAACAAATGATGAGGTTACTGGGAGGAAAGAGAACGAGGACGACTAGATTCCATCTCCAGTTCGCCGGAATGGTCGAGAGGCACAAACGAAATAGGTATCAAATTTAAACCAGTATCCGTTGATAGTTGTGGATGAACACCAGCGAAAGTAGGATAAACTGGAGCTCCTTTTCCTCATGGCTTGAAGAAGCTCTGAACCACCGGCTCGGCTATTACCTTGTGGCCTATCTCCAAAAGAGATTGAGAGTACTTCACGACGGTATCGCCAGCAATAGACTATGCCTGAACAGGAACAGCGTGACAGAATAAATACAAGACCCGAGAAACGGCCGTTCATAGCCTGGAATGACATTTTTTTCCAATTAGTTGGTTACCCCAGACACCAGTTGGTGCTGAAGTTAACAAGAAACTTACTGTAAATTTGATATACCTATAGGTGTTGGGTTATCTCCGACGCCAGTGATCGTGGTGATCGTCAGTTTTCATCAGTAAGTCATCAGTTTAGATGCTTTTGTTAATCGGAATTTTGTGATTTTATTAAAAATGCATCTAAATGATTTTTATTGTTCTGTTGATGATAGTCTATCATGGACGATAAATTCGTCTGCCAATCCGTTAAACTTTCTTTCTGGAGGGTGCGCCACTGAAGCATTTTCCATTAAATCCTGCACAGTCCGGGGACTCCTCGTGCTTGAATCTATGAAGATATTCGCGGAAGCACCCATGTCCTGAGACCTGGAAGCATCTGCGGCAGGTATGATAGTAGTTTGCCTCCCCATGGTGTCGGTTTATCCAGGCATCGATATGCGGAATCCGGCGATGAGCCGACATCTCTCGTTGGTCGAGTTTAAACTTTTACGTGTACCTACGTCCAACTTCCTTCGATGTCGACTGCTAATCATAAAAAGAGCGGATACAACATTTTGACTATACCTAACTGGTAACGTTTAATTGACTTTTTCGCACTTGATTGGTGGGATGGGTGAATCACATTTTTAGAAGTGAAACTTCTTTGCTGTGAAGCCAACAGTTCTCGAGCGTTACGGTACCAATCGCGTTATAGGGAGAGTATGAACAGTGGCGTCAGCGTTACAAGCGACCAGTAAAGAAATTGATGCGTAGCTCAGACTATGGATAGCGTAATCATTTAACCATATTGTCAAACTTTATCCTGTAGTGACGGGGTGCGTAGCGTAGGGTCAGGACGAATAGAAACTTGCTTGGTACTAAGTTTAAAGTATATTGTGTAGACTAAAGGTAATAATAGGTCTGTTTCTGCAGAAATCACAAACCAGTCGGAGCGAATTTTATTGGTTGAAAACAGTCAGAAAACTAGTTTCAACCAATGAAATTCACTCTGACTAGTTTGTGATTTCTGCAAAAACAGGCCTATAAATTATTGATAATCACCAAAGGATGGCCCTATGGTACACAGTGCCTCTTCTATGGGGGTTCCGGGGAGCTACCTGGAAGACACAAAGCTATACGTTGGGTGCGATTCGCTAAAGTAATTGGCTGTCAAGAAGGGCTTTCCCAAACGAGGTAATTGCACTGGTTCAAGTCTGCCTATCCGAGTGTTGCCGGCTACTATTTATATTCGTTTTTCGCTGACTTGCTAATAAATAAGTCTGTCAATCATATACAGTGTCATATTGTCCGATGTAGCTTTGCTTGTCGACATATGCTCCTTCTCTGAAAAGCATTGTACCCCTTCCCCCTTCCCCAATGCTATAGAAGAGCCACCATCACAAATTCAATAAAAAATACTTAAATCTAAAAATACCATATAACGAGATTATACAAACTCTCTCAACGTACACAACCGAACAAACATAGATCAACGGGAAACAATCGGGGGGGGTCAACACAACGGACAGAAAAAAAATATAGGTTTGTCGCTTCAATCTTGGGGTTTTCCTTGGGATGGGTCCGGTTCTGTGCATTCTTCTTCACCATGTGGGTTGGATTCGGTTCTGCGTTCCGGTTCCGTGTCTCCAAATCCTTACTCCTGAGTCCCTATTCTTGAAACAGGGGAGCAACGATCCCAGGTAGTCGATTCTCGAATTTGGTAGAAGTGAACGTTCCCCTAGGAGAAGTGAGAGATCACATCGCACGCTCGTTCTCTTGGTGCCAAAGTTGGTATTCTCGAACGTATGGGATTATGATAGAATGTAATATGTAGAATTAGCCAGAATTTTAGTGCGTTAAAAGGACGAATGTCATGAGAAAGAAGAAAACCAGTATCCCTGCGTTTTTATTCCCATCAAATTTTACCGATGGATCCACCATTCTATGTCGGTCATTATCATTTTCCATTCACTAAACAAAGATAGCTAACTCATCGGTAAAGTCCGATTAGAATAAAAACGAGAGGTTTGTTTTATTTGTGTTTTGGGACGTAATCTCATTCTTTGCTTATTTATTCACTGAAAATCAATAATCAAATCATGAATAATTTTATTTACAATTTTTATTTTCGTGTTGTTTTGTTTATGTGGAAAATGAATTTGGAAAAATCAAGATGTTCACCTATAAATCATACTCAAAAAGAAATGCTCATTGAATTTGTAAGGCAAAATGAGAAACTTCAAAGTGGGAAATTTACCTCCGATTTTACCACAGTTTTTAATGATGAAGTTCTAGTTGGAGTCCGTATAAAAGGTGTCAATAAATCAATTAAATTTCGAGAAAGATCTTTGCTTAATCTAAATAGTTTTATAAAGGTATTATCCGTTAAATCAAAGGGATTTCCTCTTCTGTGAAATCTCCTTAAAGGCCTTTCTTCTTGCTCTTCTGCATCTAGTAGATCATTCAGTACAAGAATTCTTCCTATAACCGCAGCTTCCATGGTTTCTCACGTTTTCGTATTAGACCGTATTTTCCACTTTAACACAATATGCATATGTACCCAATTGGCAATTACTGCTAATAGTCCTTGGGCCCAGATCTAAATTTTTTATTTATGACCACACCGTCGAAACTTTTTGTATTTGTTATTTGGGTGGAGTCGGACAAATTTTGAGCTTAGCGCATTATGGTAGTGGGGCGTTTGTCTGTCAAGCTGTCACGAAGTTGTCGATTTTATGCAAGAAAAAAATTTAGGACCACATTGGTAATTTTTTTAAAATCAATAGTTTTTATCACATAAACAACGAAAAAAAATGTGTCGGACAAAAATAT